ACTTGTTAAACGTTTCTTTTAGGAAACGTATTTTATTCAATATTGTTTGCCATTCCATCAAACAATATTATTTTTTCAATTGTAAATTAAATTTACGAAAATCTTAACAATTTGGGTGCATAAGTTATATTAAACTATTTAAATTTTACAGATAATTCTATAACATAGCCATTATAAGCTAAAATTCAACTATTATATAAAATTTAATATTAAATTTTCTTATACAACTACAGATTGGGAACTCAAAATTATAGTAAAAATATTCTATATATTTTAAGTATTAATCCAGTAATGAATTTTTAACTAAATGCAGCAAAGAGAAGAGAAAAAAAATTACTAAACTGAAATTAAGCATTTTAAATATTGTCTGTTGAAACTGCACGTTTCATATATTTCCTTTTAATTGAAGCTCTGTACGTTCCTATTAATTTGAGAACAATTTGTCCTATCACTATAACAACAAGAATTAGCAAAAGGAAATTTGTGGTTTTTAAATCGCTTAGATCTGTTTGTACTTCCACTTCATTAACTACATTGGCCTGAGGCCTGTCGAACTTGGCTTTTGTGCCACACATTTCCAAATAATATTAATTAATGAAGATAAAACACATATAACACATAAATATAAATATATACTAATGTGACCGAAAAGTTTTCGGAAATTCTCATTTAAAATTCGCGCGCTGTATATTTTTCGATATTTTAAGTTTATGTAGTTTGGCAGCAATTAAGGACAATTACTATGCCAAAAATGAGCGCGATCTGTCAGACAGTTCGTTTACGGCAGCTGTTGAAACCAGTTCACCTCAGTAGGGCGTTGCGAAAAAAACAATGGAAAAAAATATTGAACAAAGAGTTTGCATCAAATTTTGTGTTTCGAACGAAATTTCGTGTGCAGAATCGTTGCGAATGCTACAAAAGGCTTATGGGGAATCAGTTTTATCGAAAACTCAAGTTTATGAGTGGTACAAAGCCTTTCAGTACGGTCGTACGACCGTCGAAGACATGCCGCGTTCTGGACGACCTTCGACCTCTACCACCGACGAAAACATTGAAAAGGCAAAGGAAATCGTGTTC